ACAAGACCATGCTTTCACATCCAGAGTACTTTCCCCTTTTTTCCACACTTCCAACATGACGATCAGAGGACGTCCCTAGACACCTCAGCAACAGCAGACCTGCACATGGGGGGGAATTTTTTAACCACTTGGCATGGTAAAAGCATGTTCCTTACAGGATTGTCTGACACTTCTCCAACCAGATGGTCAGACGCAGCGTCTACCACGGGTTTGGCAGCGATCTACCGGGAACAATTGCTTTGGAGCTGTTGGCAATGGCATCCAGGTTGGGAAATTTTTCCACCACCTCAGCCCCTTTGGGAGATCTACCCCATTGTAGCAGCTGCTGAGGCATGGGGTAAATCATGGTCAGGGTCATCAATCCATTGTTACTCAGGCAACTAAGCATATGTCATATCATCAACAAACGCCACTACTCATCCATAAGGTCATGATATTTCTGGGGAACTCACTTGGTTGGCCACTTATCACATTTCACTTTCATGTACCAGACAGGGGTATCCCTGCCGACAACTGTCTCATTTATATTCCAGGCATGTTCATCATACGCTTCATACAGCCGCACATACAGTCACGGCCACTCTTTCGTTCCAGAGACAAAATCATGGATTAGACATACTCATGCAGCATAGCATGCACTATCCCACCTAGCACTTTCGTCCCATACTTGTAGAACACATAACACAGCTTTTCACCTGGCTTCAAGAATCTCATTGGCACACGACATAGCTCAACCTGTGTCATAACATTTCTCCTAGGTTTTGCTTCTTTTTGCCACCTTAAACTTAAACTATCTCACACACCATTAATTATATATTTTACAGGCATTCAACAACACAGGATAACCTATGGCCAAAACTACCATAACTTCATGCTATCATACCAGACAAGAATATACTCAGAGGTTTTCAGGAATCCATTCCCCCACGTTCCTCTCAGAGATTACCAATAGCCATCCAACTTTTCATCATTATCGGACCTATTAGATCTACAACCATTCAATTATACTACCAAGTCGGCCATTACCAGCTATGCACATTGCCTTTTATGCCTTTCTCAGGCCAGAGAATCCACTACCATCACCACCACTCAGACAGATCATTGTCTTCAACGATCCCACGTACGTAAACACATATATCATTACCTATTGGCTCTACCACATTCCGAAACGAGTCAACACGCACCAACAGTAGAGATAACATACTATCCTACCCACAACAAATGGTGTCCACTTTCGGTCCTAGATTCCTACCTTCAAAATCCTTTCAGGAATTAAATACTGTAATGCTTTTAAGGAAATGTCTGGTTAATTTGTATATATTTGTTGACTGTATTAAATATTTTATTATTCATTTTTGCCCTCTTTATTTACAGGCCTACCGTATCGTCGGTCTCGGCACACCACAACCGACTTGCTCCCTTTATACTATCCTACGCTTATGCTGGATCCTTACTCCATATACGGCTATTTGCCCCTTACACAAGTATTAAGGCCGTTTGGCCTGTATTTGTGGGAGGGGCTTAAATTAATTCACTCCCCTATATAAGGGACACCCCTTACCTGACTCATATCGCTTGAGGTCAGCATCAGAATGACCCTCCCACCCACTCCTCATTTCAACACTTTCTCTTTTCTTTCCATTTACTTTACTTTCTTACTCCTTGGTGGGCCCTCTTTATTTACAGGCCTACCGTATCGTCGGTCTCGGCACACCACAACCGACTTGCTCCCTTTATACTATCCTACGCTTATGCTGGATCCTTACTCCATATACGGCTATTTGCCCCTTACACAAATATATATATATATATATATATAAAGTGCATGGTCTAACTGAGGTCAATCAGAATTGTGTCAGAAAACAGAATATATAATTTAGAAACAAAACCAAAAGAAAGCTTTTGGCACAACATTACAGAGCTATGTAATATCTAAACAAGATACATATGATTATATGATGAGAATCTCAGACTTGGGGAACTGAGGGTGAGGAAGTTGCTACCTGGGAGATAAATGGGATTCTCTTATCAAGTCCTACTTGGGGTTTCCCATTGTCTGGTTTGTTTCCAGTAAGATACCCAGTAATTGCAGAAACACATGAGCATCTGACATATAAATCAGCTGGTATATGTTACCTTCTTTATGTTGTGCCAAATGGAGTCTCCATTGGTAGCTGATATTTTTGTACCACTGGTACGGGGTGCACAAATTGACGTCATGTCACAGTGTATCTGGACAAGTCACAGTAAAGAGTTGTAAAAATGTAACAGTATGCTCCATACTGGATCCATACATTTGACGTTTGTATCAATTAAGTATCATTTGATGTTTGTATCAAGTTCTCTCCTTACTCACAGAGGAAACATGTAAATGAAGTACAATGTAAAAAATGGGAGACCCCACTGTTCCAATTTAAGTGGACATTTATGATCTCAGGTTCCACTCCCAATGTTGCTCCTTGATGTCCTGCATCCGAAGGAACAGTCCCGGCCAGCAAAGTGCAAGCATCATTAGACACATTTGGGACCAGTCGGGAGGCTGTCATTCAATTTTGCATGTCTTCACACTCGTCTGGCATGCAGAGCAATCACAGGAGAAGGCAAGTAAAGTTAAGTATCTGTTAGTCAGATAACAATATAATCTAATTCAACATGGCTGATCATTGTTTTTCAACCAATATAAATCATTTAAAAAAAATATCATTAAGTTTTTCAAATGTAATAAACTTTTTTTTTTAAATGACAGATGCTCTAACTTTCCATGCAAATGGAAATTGTTGCACTGGCTTTTTGACACTCTGGAATTGTATCTGACACTTCCACTTTATCAGCATTTTTTTATATTTACATTTTTTCATATTTTTTCTATATCCATGTGCCCAAGGTAACTCTCTGTTTAATAAAGCTAACATCTTCCAACTACTGAAAGGAACACTATAAGCAGCCTGACCACTTCAGCTCGTTGAAGTAGTCTAGGTGCACTGTCCCTGTCCCACTCAGTCCTGCAATGGTAATCAGAAACTGCAATAATTACTGCAATAATCAATCAGACAGCCAGTAGAAGCACTTCCTGGTTGTTAAGCGACTTTTGTTCGCCTAACTGATGCTGAACATTCTCACCCTTTGCATGAGGACAACCAGCTATAGCTATTTTACATAGGAAAGCATTGCACCACTGCTTTCCTATGGGAATGGCCTAATGCTCTCGCAGTGCTCGCCATGCATGCGCATCAGTGCACCATCCCTCCCCCTGGCAGGTGACATCGGAGAAGGCGGAGCACCAACCCAGTCCCAAGGTAGATCGGTGCTGGAATCGGGTGAGTACAATAAGGGTTTACTAAGCTTTACAGTGCCTGGGGGAAGGGTGAGCAGTGAGGGAGGAGGAGTCCAGAGGTACGTAGAGTGCTAGGAATACAGATTCCTATTCCTAGCACTATAGTTTCCCTTTAAATTATTTTACTACACACTTCTCTAATTAACAACAATTATTAACTTATATCAATATCTAGGGTATGTTTTCATCAATATATCTACATTATAGTCCTTTTATTTTTCTCTCTATAGCAGATATATTTTTTTCTTTTGGAACAATTCCACTGGAGCCTAATAAACATTTTTATTGGCTTTCCATTTAGTCACAGTTAGGGGAAATGTCACTCTTGATACCAGTGGGTGGAAAAATAATGGTTAAAAAGATAAAGAATGTCAGGTGACTAATTACAGACCCATCTCCATTTTCCTTCTCATTCAATTCAACCTAAAAGTGTTTGCCAAATCACTCACAAATAGACTTAATCCAAACCTAACCAATGTTGGTCCATCCACACACCCCTGCTAGACAGAGTAAAACAGAAAATTAAGGACAATTTCTTAATGGACAAAGTAACAACCCACGTTAGAAACTCTGTCCCAGCATTCCTGAAAATATGGGCTCTGTGGAAAGAATATGAAAATAGGGGCAAACCTGTAAATTAAAGGTTTTTGGGCGCTTTTCACATAAAATGCTAGCATTCAACCTGTACACATAGATGAAGCGCATCCTCTCACTCATCCTACTACAAAATCACCATCACTAGAACTAGATACTACTGTAAATATCAATGTATTATTGTCAAACCGTATCTGTACATTGTGCATTGAAGACATCACAAGACGAACGCACAGCAGTGCCGGAACAACCCGTTTGGGGCCCAAGGCTGTTAAAATTCTGTCTTGTTGTAAACATTACTTTGGGTTTGTTGCCCAAGTTCAGAATATGAAAACAAGCTGTTATATCACTTGCATTATGTATATGTCTATGTACTCTAAATACAGAATGTAAGAAAAAAATATATAGAATGCAACATTACAGAGCAATGGTAGAAAAAAAATATGGTTTCTATTTGTATAGCAGAATATCCCAAGGTAATATGCAGCCAGCAGAACAATGGTGCATGGATTCACCTAAAAAGTTATGCACATTATTTAGTTTGCTTTAATAGTTGAAGGTAAAACCACAGGAGATCCTGATTGGAAATATAAACAGCCCTGGTTAAAAAAAAATCAAAAATTATTATGTATTTTGTAGTGCAATGACAATATTATAGACAGGTAAAGACATGCCATCATAAAGCATAAAATGGGTGTCGAAGGAAACATGAAATATCCTTTGAGATATCTGCACAATTTTTAGAATTATATAATGCTCATTGGTAGATTGTAGTTTTCATTAGAAACATTATGAATACCTATGAAACTCTTGAATGAAAAGCCTCTGAAGAAGCTTTGAGTAGAATTATGATATCACATTACAGGACAATGCACTGGTCAGCAAAATAATATAATACGACATATAAGGACACAACAAATGATAACTAACAGGGAAACTTTGGAGTGTTGCATTCTTATTTCAATTCCTGAGCAGGAATAAGTCACCCAATTCCCTCTACCTGGCAACCCTTCCCCTGTAGACTCTGATATTCCTCCCTCCAACAGAGACAAATATATTTGCCAAAAGATTCTCACAGTCGATCTTGTTCCAGGGCTAGACCTTGCATAAAGTAACTGTGGAGATGATTGCGGTTTGTGGTTTTGACAGTGTCCCGAGTAAAGAGACTAGTGGCAACAGGTAAACCATAAGTGGACTGCAGTTCAGGTGAGTGACCAGGAGTAGCAATCCCCCTAAATGCCATCCTGCTCGGAAGACTGGGTGGTCTGTAGCTGTGAGACCCGCTTGTACAGTTTAGCCAAAAACCTTTCACAAATGTTGTCAAAGCTGATTGTGGATGTTGTATTCTCAGTATTGACAATTTCTCCAGCAAGGAGGCCGTAGTCATCTTAGGCATCAGCCACCAATCCCCTGTAGAAAATAGAACAAAACGCTGTAGTCAGGCAATTTAGAAGCTGCTTCAGAAGGAACCGGGATGAGCCCCAACGGTCCAGAGGGGAGCAGGGCCGCCATCAGGGGGTGACAACCATGATGGTTGTCACGGGCCCGGCGGCCCTGGGGGGACCGGCAGTGGTGTATCCTGGTTTTGTGCTGCCCTAGGCAAGACAAAACTCAGGCACCCCCCTCCCACCCCACCCAACCCTTCCCCCCCATCCCACCTTCTAAATACACACACACACAGTCAGACACACACACACACACACACACACAGTCAGACACAAACACACACACACAGTCAGACACAAACACACACACACAGTCAGACACACACACACACATACAGTCAGACACACACACATACACAGTCAGACACACACACAGACAGACACAAACACACACACACAGTCAGACACAAACAAACACACACAGTCAGACACACACACAGTCAGACACAAACACACACACACAGTCAGACACACAGTGAGACACACACACACACACACACAGTCAGACACACACAGTCAGACACACAGTCACACACAAACACACACACAGTCAGACCTCCTGACCTTTGGGAGTGCTGGGGGGGGGTTCCTCTTTCTCCCTGGTGGTCCAGTGGCTGCCGGTCAGGCTGATGGGTTGGCTGATGGGCGGGCGGCTGGCGAGGGAGCACATCCTCTGAGTGATCTGCTCAGCTCCCTCGCGAGCCGCCCGCAGAGTGAGGCTGGGAGCTGGGTTGATGATGTCATATTCCGGCTCCCAGCCTCACTCTGCGGCGCGCGAGGGAACTGAGCAGATCGCTCAGAGGAAGTGCTCCCTCGCCAGCCGCCCGCCTGACCATCAGCCAGTGCCGCCCAGCGCCCAGCATGTCAGTTAGCCGCGAGGCTAACTAGGCATTTGCCCTGGGCATTTGGGGGGCAGCGTTTTTTGCCGCCCCCTGAAAAATGCCGCCCAAGGCAAATGCCTTGTTTGCCTCACAGCTAATACGTCCCTGGGGCCCGGACTGCTCTGGCAGTCCTGAGGCCCACTTTCTTTCTCTGCACACATAGATAGCGAATATCGCTATCTATGTGTGCAGCCGCGGGCCCCCGGCTCCCTGTTAGCACAGAGGGGGCCCAGGCAGCACACAGCTTCTCCTCTCTTCTCTCTTCTAATAACTCTCGCGAGACCCGCGGAGCGTTGCCATGGTAACCAGGTCTCGCTGCTGTGAAAAAAAGAAGTTATGTAATGTTTGGGTTTTTTTTTTTACTCTTAAATGCAATGAATGCATTATTTTATCATTTTATGTTTGTACAGGCTGGTACTTGGTATAAATGAAACAATGACCAGGACCTTGGCAGGGTTATTCATGAAACTAATTTCTTATAAATGAAAATACAACTTGGATAATCCACACCCTCCATACCTTGCACAGCTGTTGGTCGAAGGGAAGAAAAAAACAACTTATAAACATGGCTGCATTGCTCAACCTTGGATACCGTGGCCTGCCTATTGGGGTGTCCCGGTTGGCCAGATTGTTCCTGAAAGACCGTAACTGCTAGATCCATGATTTTTACTATCAATACTTTCACATCATCTATGTGTGCAACTATAACCTATAATTAAAATAGGAAGCTCCTTTCTGTGCGCTAAGCCCAGAGGCGCAGAGCTTAGTTCATTGGCTGAGGGTAATCAATTGACGCTCTCTGTCAATGCACTAGTGTGCTGTAGAGTTCAGCTCAGATGAGCTAGCGGACGTTACTGACCAGGAGCTTAGGGCTTTCACTTCGCAGTGGCGGAGGTGGGGAGCAACACCTGAATATCAACTCAAGGAAAAGGAAACAAGGAACACAAAAGAAATTAGAACATTTATGTATGTAGGCCTCTATGAGTGGCCATATGTGGACTGTATTATCCCCAATCTGGTTCAGGTCACTGGTTCATCTGAGCGGTGTTTCCTCTGGGTCGCAGGGGTGATGTTGTCTCGGTTCAAGGACTCCTCGATAATTCGGGCAGCAGGCGGTAGATGTGGTGTGGGCAGTCCCAGTGCCTCTAAAAAGGCTGTGAGAGAATGAGCAGACCCCTCATGGTGGACCAAGAGAGATCCAGTGTGCGTCTTGTGTCAAATTAAGGTGGCTCTGGTGAAGTCCTGAAAGAACGTTAGTTGGGAGTTTTCAAAAGCCAACGGTGTTTTGCCCTTTAGGGTCATCATGATTTGTCTCTTGTTGTGCACAGTCACGTAGCGTAGTATGACATCTCACGTCACTGTGGTTTGAGTGTGCGCGGTGCTGGTTACACGATAGATACCATCCAGAATCCACAATTTTTGGGGCTGTTGCGTGTGACAAGATTGAAAATAACAAGCGCATGGTATAGTGTGGCAATTCTTCGGTTGACGCAGTGGCGGGTATTCCCAGTATTTTAATTTGTGTTAAGCGCTGTCTGTTTTCTTGGGAAATCATTCTCTTGGGAAATCATTTGGGTGGCTAACACGTGTTGTGCAGACTCAGTTCCTTTAACCTTTCCTTGTAAGTTTTATCCTGCAATCCAAGAAACAGTTTAGTAGCCGTTCTCTGAACCCTCTCTAAAGTATTAATATCCTTCTGGAGATACGGTCTCCAGTACTGCGTACAATACTCCAAGTGAGGTCTCACCAGTGTTCTGTATAATGGCATGAGCACTTCCCTCTTTTTACTGCTAATACCTCTCCCTATACAACCAAGCATTCTGCTAGCATTTCCTGCTGCTATTACTTTGTCTGCCTACCTTTAAGTCATCAGAAATAATCACCCCTAAATCCCTTTCCTCAGATGTTGAGGTTAGGACTCTATCAAATATTCTGTACTCTGCCCTGGTTTTTACGTCCAACATGCATTATGTTGTTGCCACAATTCTGACCATTTTTCTAGTTTACCTAAATCATTTGCCATTTGGCTTATCCCTCCTGGAACATCAACCCTGTTACATATCTTAGTATCATCAGCAAAAAGACATACCTTACCATCAAGACCTTCTGCAATATCACTAGTAAAATATTAAAGAGAATGGGTCCAAGTACAGATCCCTGAGGTACCCCACTGGTGACAAGCCCAAGCTTGGAATATACTCCATTGGCTACAACCCTCTGTTGCCTGTCACTCAGCCACTGCCTTACCCATTCAACAATATTGGAATCCAAACGTAAACATTGCAGTTTATTGATAAGCCTTGATAAGTGTTGAGCGGTAGGCCGCAGTTTTGCCCTGCTGTCTAGGCTGTTCCGGGGCCTGGAAGAATGACATTGATCGACTCAGGATTAAGATTGGGCCGGGTGTGGAGTCTGATTGACTTTGGGTGAGGAGGTAAGTAGTTGGATTGTGTGGGCTGCTGGAGAGCTACCCGAGATGGCATCTGCTTACGATGACAGGCAAGCTCTGCCATACTGTATTGTTTTCTGTTAACATGCTGACAATATATAATTGTTCCTGTATACAGATAAACATCAAGATGTAGCTTGCCTTCGTCTTCTAAATAACCTATTTGTGCTAGACCATCTCTTTAATAGAAAAGTTTTAAGTTAAAAAAACAAAAACACAAGAACAGAGAAATATGCAGACCGTCTCAATTATATGAATGAAACTTACTGCATTGACTGGAAAAAATATATCTATGTATAGCGCGATGTTCCAAATATAGAACCTGGCTATTAGAAATAATATGGTCAGAGACCCTAATTAAACAAAGTATATACAAATGAACCTACAATCCTATGCCAGCCCAGGGTGGTATAGATCAAGAGGTAGTAAAAAAGATAACCTCACTCCCCCTTATAATTAAGCTTGGTAAAATATACAAAGCATATAAAAATCTGGAAAAGATACATCGATGACGTGTTTATCATTTGGACAGATACCTCGGAACTGTTTTTGGACTTCGTCCACACTCTCAACTCCAACAATATTAATCTCAAACTGACTAGTGAAATTGGTGGCAATAGAATTAATTTTCTGGACCTCACCATCTCGCTGACAGAAGAAGGGTGCCTCATTTCAACTCTGTTCCGTAAACCAACGGCAACTAATAACTTGCTGAATTGGTCTAGCCATCATCCCCCTTCCCTAAAGAAAGGGATTCCAACTGGACAATACTTGCGCCTTAGACGCAATTGCTCTACATTGGATGATTTTAAACTAAAGGCTAAGACCTTACAACTCCAATTCAAACAAAAGGGGTACCCGAATAGATGCTTAAAGCACGCTTATAAACGGGCCTTACTGTCAGATCGGAAAGACCTTCTAATCGAACATAACCCAGAGCCATCACAGGGAGTCATAAGATGTATAGGGAATTTTGATGCCGGCTGGCATCAAATGATGCAAATCTTGGACAGATTCTGGCCCCTTCTACAACAAGACCCACACTTACGGAAGGTAATCACACATAAGGCTTCAGTAACAGCAAGAAGGGGACGCAACATCAAGGACATGTTGGTCCCTAGCCATCTCAAGACTACACCCCAGAAAACATCATGGCTGAAGTCCCCAGTCTTAGGGACCTATCAATGTGGGAAATGTAAGGCATGTAGGTTTATACGTAGACCCTCCAAAACATTCCCAGACTCCCTCGGCATACAGGAATTCAAAGTAAAGAATTTCTTTAACTGTCAGTCCAAAGGGCTTATCTACTTACTTTCCTGTTCGTGCAAAAAACTGTATGTGGGAAAAACCTTTAGGATGTTTAAACTTAGGATACGGGAACATGTCAATTCGGTAAACCCCACAAGACAAATCGACACCCCTATCTCTAAACATTTGAAACTACATCGTGGGGGCTCATCTGAAGGAATCAGATTTAGTGGTATTGAAAGGGTTACCTTGGGACCAAGAGGGGGGGATTTAGACAAGAAGCTACTCCAAAGGGAGAGCTTCTGGATCTATAAGCTCAAAACCCTGTCACCCTTGGGACTTAACGAAGGTTTCTCATATACACCATTTATTGCAGATCACTGATACCAGGTGTGGGACTCAGACCTATATACGGGCAGTGGTACTCGGCAGGTGATCTCTGCACTAATCTATTCTGAGTGAGCCTTATGGCCTGATACACTTGTAAATTTGTAAATATAGCGCGGTTTGTTCCACAATGGATATATTCTTTGCTTATTACTATTACTACTATTATCACTATTCTTTTCTATTTATTATTATTTTTTATATTATTTTTTATCATATAAATTTATTCTCATGATTACCGGATGAGGACCACTAAATTGCTAATGCTTGAATTCTCCCAAGGAAATAGCTATATAATGATTATAATACCAATAATGTTCCTAGACCAAGCTTGCTGAGCACTTGAATGAAAATATCAATGGCCATACCAGTCTGAAAATGCCTGATCTCGTCAGATCTCAGAAGCCATCCAGACTTGGGCCTGGTTAGTACTTGTATGGGAGACCAACTAGGAACCTCAGGTGCCATAAGTTTAAAGACCTCTTGACAAAAAGAATGCTAGACTTATTATTATTATTTTTATTTCACGGACTAAGTCATATCTGGTCATTCAGAGGGCCATATTGTCAAGTGACTCAGTGTACAGGATATAGCGGCAGGATGTACCATGTTAAGTTTGCATCCTAGCATGGGTCCTATGAACACTAAATATATTTATTATCTTATATCCTTGCCTGGGATGGGGGAGTGGGAGTTAACAACATCCCAGGACCCCTTATCATTCAATTTTTCTCTTATTATTGGGGTGTCCTCTCATATCCTTTACTACATCTTTAATAGATTCAATATTAGAATAATATGTAATCAGCACTGCCTTATATTTTCAGCTGATTCAGTACATCCTATATAGTACACATTGGTACTTTGGAATGATACATTATCAATATGCAGCTTATCAATTTGAGCCTTAATTTGGACAATTTCGGTTTCTCCATACACAGAGAATACCTAGCTCCGCCCATCTGTCACAGGGGATCAACCCATGTGAGGATGATGGACAGGAGAGGCTCGGATGGGCGGTACTGCAGCACTATGATGAATGAGACACGCCCCATTAGGAGAATGCCAGATACGTCACGTGACGCATGACATCACAGGTCACGTGACCGGCTGAGGGATTTCCCCTTCATACAGATGAATGAGCATTAGCAATCACAGAGGAATAGCCAGGATATTAGAGGCAGCTGGGGAGGTATACACCCCCACACTCCATTGGCTACAAGGTAATCATGCTTCCTGGCAATTGGGGTATTTAAGAGGTTTCTCTTCAGTTATCTGTTGGCCCCTGACGAAGGTGCATCTCTCTGCACCGAAACGTACGTTGGGCGTTTTTTCTGCACTGGGCACTGGTGTTTGGAGCACCATGATCACCATCTAATTTAACTTTATTTTATATCGTTTTCTTCTTTTCTTTCCTATGCCTATCTAGCTAGCTTTACAGGGAGAGAGGCTTTATTAATGCTAATTATCAGTCTGGTTTTGACTGATTTTTTTACTTCTATTTTCAGTCCTTATCTCTCTCTGTTTTTCTTAATATGTTTCTAGTGTGACCAGGATACTTCCTATGATGCATGGAT